GGAGGAGAGCATTTCTCTCCTGGGGCCAGGAAGAAGCTGGTGCCCACATGCTTTGGAAAAGATGGAGCACTGGTGAGTAGAAGATTTTATGGCCTCCTCTCTGCCTGGGCTTGGCAAAAACCAGCTGGCCTGGGCATGTGCCTTGGAGACAGGCAGGCAGCTGGCAGGCGGAGGTGATCAGAGACCAGGCGGCAGCAGGTGCCCGGGGCTGGCCCGGGCCTTAGCTCACCCCTGTCCCCACCCACGCAGTTGACTGACTGTTGCAGGCTGGGGTGCGGAGGTGTTACAGGGGGTGTGGAGACTATCTTGCTTCCCCGAAGTAAAGGGATCTTTCATTTTACCTTCCAGACTCTGGAAACTTAGCCTCTCCCCACCCTGCATAGTCAGTTTAGATCAGATGAGAGGCCAGGCTGTTGGTGCAGGTGTCTTGGGTTTCATGGACCCCACAAGGCCTGCCATCGTGACACCCATCCCGATTTTAGGGACGTTACAAAGACAGGGCCGACAGTGCTTGTAGGACGGGCTGATTGTGGGACGCAGGCTGACATCAAAGACATTAGAATAGGAAAAAACGGGGGTCTTAGGGTTAGTGCAGTGTGGTGATGGCGTCCTCCTTGCCTCCCATCCTTCCTCGCTCTCTTCTTGCCTTCTGAGTATTAGCTCCTTTATTCTTGAACATCCGTGCTAAGTGCTTGGGACACACAGCATGGTGAGCGAGGCATCTACTGTCCGTTTCTCATGGAGGCCACAGCCGTGAACAGGGCTAGGGAATTGTAGGGGTCCTACCTTCTGAGCAGTGTAGCCTCTGCCCAGATCCTGGCTCTGCTGCTCACCAGCTATGTGACCTTGGACAATAGCTTTACCTATCTGTGCTTGTTTTCTCATGTGTAAAATAGGGCTAAGAGCAGTGGCTGCCTCACAGCTGTAAGATTAGATGAGTTCATAAGCTGTTAATGTGCTCTCCCCCTTACTGTGACTTGCATCAGCACTGTCATTTTGTAGCACACCAGTCCCCACCAAGGGCTACAGTGGAGCCTGGGGTCTGGAAGGAGGCCCTGATTTGCTGTAGTTCTCGGTAGACTCCCAAGTTGGCTGTGCGTGGTTAACTTCTGGGCCTCTGCATAGCTTGGTTTCCTTGGCTCAGGTCCTGAGGCCTTTTTAGTCAGTGCTTCATATCCCACCTCTGTAAAGAGGAGGACAGTAACAGTGCCTATCCTGTAGGGGTGTTGAAGGGATTAGATGAATTGATAACTTGCTCAGAACCATGTCAGGGCTGTCGAGGGTTTGTCGGGACTGTCCCAGACCTCTGGGGAAGGAAGGAAGATGAGCCTTCCACGTTGAACATGTCTCTTTCCTTGTGATCTTGCTCCTAGGCCTTCCTCTCCGCTCTCAGGGAGTTGTAGATGTTGTCCTTGGTAGATTTCTCGTTCTCTTTTCAACATGGGGCTGAGAGGTGATTGCTAGAGGATGGGAGCCCCCGGGAGGCCAGCACTGCCACCTCCAGGGAAGTGTGCCACCACACCTGGCGCCTCCTGTGTGTCATTGAACAAGTATATAAAGGGCACCAGGTGAATTGAACAGATACCTTCCTGCTTGGGGGAAATTACAAGTAGGGAGGAAAAAAGACACTTAGGAGAGAGACAACTGATAGTGGACCCCTAGACAGCACTTCCAGGCCCCTGGACACTCTTTTAGGTGAATAATTTCATCCCTCCTCCCACCCTGGGCATTGGGGTTGTGGTTATTCCCATCTTGCAGGTGGGGAAATGAAGGTGGTGAGAGCTGAAGGCATCCATCCCATCGTGCTAGTTAGCAGCAGAAGCGGGCTTGAACCCAAGGCATCTGTCTGGCTCCCAAGTCCCGCCTGTCACCCCTGCCCTGGGTTGAGCAGGGGCCTGAGCATCCCCTGCAGGGCCAGGAAAGCTTGTGGCAGATGTTAGTTATTAACATTCCTGTGGGTCTTAGTCTCTGCACTCTACAGAATGCTTTTCACTTTGCCTTCAGAGCCCTATGGAGTTGACACACTATCACCCCCATTTTATGGAGGGAGAAACTGAGGCCCAGAATCCGCTGTGACCTGTCCAAGGTCACACAACTGATTTGTAGCAGAGCTGGGTTAGAACCTGGGATTTTGGCTCAGATTCCAGGCTCTTAGGCACAACTCCATCCTGCCACCACAATGGGAGTGTCCAGGTTGGCTTGGGTGGCCTGAGGGATAGGAGCACCCTGGGGTGGGGTAGGGAAGGGAGGACCCCTCCCTGCAGGCTGTACCCTGTGAGGCTGGCCAATCCTGGAGCAAGGCAGAAGAAAGTAAGTCTCCTGGGGGCCTGGACGAATTTTGGCTTGTGGCTTTATGAGCCTTTTAGGAAAAACAGTGGTGGCAGTGACAATAGTAACTCTATGGTGGGAGCAGCAGCCAAACTCAACCCTTCCTGAACCAGGTCCCCTGTGCTGAGTGTCGTCCCTGCCACACAGGGAACAGCAAGTCTGAGAGGTGGGACCCCCCGCCCCTGGCCACACAGTCAGAAAGTGGTAGTACTGGGCTGGAGGCCAGGTCTGCTGCCGCACAGCCCACCCGAACACTGTGTCCAGGCCTCTCCTTCAGCCCCCTGCTCCCGCCTGTCTCCTCGAGGTTCCCGAGGACGGCATGGGCCTCAGTGTGGGAGGGGCCGGCCAGATGTTCCCAGGGCCAGGGCTCTGGGCAGGGGTGCGTGTGTGTAGCAGGCCATAAGTGGCACAAGCTTCTTCCCCGTATTTTGGCTGTGCTACATTAGGAGTCCTACCAAAGCCTTGCTGACTCGCATGGGCATGTCAGATGGCAGAGGTGGGCAACCACAGCTCTTGTGCCCGGGACTGCCACGGAGACCTAAGACCTGGTCTGTGAAGCAGCAGGGCCCTGTTGAGGTAAGTTTGACCCCAATTAATTTCTATCCCCCTGAATTATAGCTTCCCTTACTAACCCGACGGGCTGCTGGTTAGTTACAACCCAGACCTGGTATCCATTTGTTCTCTCCAGCAGTATAAGCAGTGCCTCCCTTCTGACAGCCTTGCCTGATTTGCCTGATACCCTCTATCCCCAAGTGCTTCCCACTCTATCCCCAGGTGTCTCAAGCATACCCTGTGCTCCTTCCCACACTTGTAATCAATGCTGGATGTCCTGGTGCCTTTTGTCTGTTGCCCAGAGCAGCTTGGACGGGCCCCAGACCCAGCTTTCTCCTTAAGTCTTGTTTCTTGTCTTTGTTCGCTTTAGCTTGTGTTGTATTGCTTTGCAGGAGATCGAGACCCACGGCTGGGGTCCCGATACACGTAGGTGGGCGTGGGGTTTCTCCAAGGTGTGTCTGAGGCTGGCAGTTTCCAGTTCTTAGTTGTCTACAGGAGAAAGCTAAGCCACACACTTTCTGTCTGGATTTCGCAATTCCTGGAGTTCTTGCAGCACCCTAATGGGAATCCTGAGTGAAGCTTCACTTTCTTTAACCTGTCCTGTCTCAGACATGTCCATTTGTTCCTGGGTCGTACAGCACTTACAACACTTGGGCTTGCCCAGTGACTGTTCCCTAGTGGCCCCTCACGGGCTGTTCTTCCTTCTTTACATTTGGGCAAATCTTCCCATCTTGCTGCTCTCTGAATTTTACCTACTTGGTAAAAAAAGAAGCTGGCTCTGGCTTGGTGCGGTGGTACACACCTGTAATCCCAGTAGTCTGAGGGGATTGTGAGTTTGAATCCAGTCTGGCAATTTAATAACTTAGTGGGATATTATCTCAAAAAAGAAAAGAAAAAGAAAAGCCTGCTCTGGTCTCCCACGCGGGGCTTCCATAGGGTGGTCCCCGGTTCCATCTGTTGGCAGGTGGATGATCTTGTCCTTATCATCTCAGGGTGGTGGCCTGCCCGGGTGTCCTGGACCCCTTCCATTCGCAGCTGTGCAGCCTGGGACAAGCCCTGCACCTCTGTCTCTGCACTGTACTCGCTCCCTCTGCAAAGTGGGAAGAGCACACCACTTCCGAGTGAAGATGAAGCCACTTCATGTGTGTTTCTGAGAAGCAGGTGTCATCCTTGCCCTTGAGCAGGAGATGGAGTCTTCCTTTCCTTCGCCTTGTGAATTAGCACCTCTCCTAGAGGCACTTCTTGTCATTTCCCTGTATCTCTTTGCTTTTTGCTTTTGAAATCTTCATGATGGCTCTTTAGCTAACTGTTCTACCTTGTGTTTAAGAGTCTAAACTCTTTTTGTTTTAAATACTGGGGATTGAACCTAGGACCTTCTCACTGAGTTATATCCTCAGCCCTTTTTTGTAAAAAAAATTTTGAGACAGGGTCTTGGTAAGTTGTGCAGGCTGGGCCTGAACTTGTGGTCTTCCTGGCTCAGCTTCCTGGAGTGCTGGGATTGCAGGTGTGCACCACCACATACAGCTGAGTCTAAGCCCCTGGGGGGCAAGATGCAAGCGTGTTTTTCTCTGGTTGGAGTCCTGACACAAACGGGGCCCAGCAGATGTGCTGAATGGATGGATGGGCCCGGCGTGGGGCTTCGGAGTGGCTAGGCATTGGTGGCAGGGTTGGGGCCAGATGGAAAAACTGTTGTGGCAGCCTGTCTCAGCTGGGAACGAATTTGGGGGTAGTTGGCAGTATCTGTGGACATTTTTGTTGTTACAGCTGGGGGTGGGAGGGTGGACACTTTAATGGGGCAGTGGCCAGGATGCTGCTAAATGTCCTGCAATGCATAGGATAGAAGTAGTGGCCTGAAATATCAGCAGAGCGGAGGGTGTGAAGCCCAGGGCGAAAGGGACGTAGCAATGTAAAACATGGCATTTAAAAATTTTAAACAAATGCTGCAAACACATTTTAGCTTAGATGATGTCTCTTACTGAGATGAAGTGTGTTGAGGTTTTTTTTTTGAGGAGGGTATAAGGTCCTTCACGTGTAGGTGAAATTACTCTGTCAACATGACCCCGGGTCTCACTCATTTTTTATTTTACTGGCTTTATAATTCATGCTTTGTGTATTTACAGTGTACAGCTAAGTGGCGTCTGGTACTACATTCAGAGTTGTGGCTCTGTCACCAGTCAGCATTGGGACATTTTCATCTTCACTTCCCGGTTTGGGTTTGAGACCTGGTCCTGGCGCAGTGATCACAAACCTCAACTGTCCTGCACTTCCGTTTGGGTGGAGGCACGTTCTGGTGTCTGTCGGTGGATTCCTTAGGCACCTCGAGTGTCCTCCAGGGACCCTGCAGCAACGATGAGTGACGCATCCAGGGACAACAGCCTGAGCATTCACTGCCCCGGGTGTGTGTGTGGGGGGGTGGGGAGTGGGGTCTGGAAAAATGATGCCTAAAATAACTAACCTGAGATTGGGCCGTAGGAAATGGCCAGCATTCCGTGACTTTTGGCTGCTGTGTTGGACAATGCAGATTTCCACAGTGTATTCTTCTGCTAAAATTTAAATGTTCTGTGATAATATGCTATAGTACTTAGAGTTATAAAGCTCCAGGCATACACACGCCTTCCTCTAGTGGAGCTTGAAGCATGAAATTCCCATGAGCATTACTGGGTTGCTATTTATTGTTGCTTTCCGGCTCTCAGTGTGCAGCTCCCAGTCTGCACACCTCACCTGAACCTTTCTCCTTGTTTTCTGAACCTCAAGCCTTAGCAGTTATTAGAAGGAAAGCCCAATTAGTCTGAGGCTCAGGCTTTCCCTTTTCTTTTTCTTTTTGTTGGCTTTTTTTTTTTTTTTTTTT